GGGGGGGGGGGGGGTGCTGTTGTTGTTGGGTTTTTTTTTTGTGTGTTTTTTTTGGGGGGGGGTGTTTTGTTTTGTTTTTGTTTAGTACTTTGATGTGTATGTCTCTATACATACCAAAGAAAGAAGCGTGTGCTAAAAGAACAGATTTAAAAATGCTATTGGTCTTATTCATTCTTCATTCAGCTGCACCAAATCTCTCTCCACATCCCTTCATTACAGTGATGCATGCAACAAGAAAGGAGACATGCTGACGGAAAATGTAACTAGTGGGACTTGGGAGAGAAGCCTGTGAACATAAAACGTGCTTTCTTTTTTTAAAACTCGACATGTTGACCAGTGGACTTTTATTATTATTTAACAAAATCCTGTGCATTATATAATAATTCATTTATTTGTAGAGGCACCAGCCACCCATGCCTATTTGCCGTTTTAGCCCTTTTGCATCGTGTGTATCATAGCCCCAATATTCTATTTAATATAATAATAAATAACGCGCCAGAATCCACAAAAAGTCCTCGGTGGCGCTTATAAAACACACACACACACACACACACACACACACACACACACACACACACACACACACACACACACACACACACACACACACACACACACAAAAGCTCTAAAGCTCAGTACCACTACGACATGCATAAATTCCAACAACAACAACGACAACAACAACAACAAAAACAACAACAAAAAGACAGGCATTTCAGGTATAGAGTATCAGCATTATAAATATACTTTTCTGAAAAACATTGTCTTCAACTTAAAAAAAAAAGATTACTCAAAAGAGTCAATTTAATATCTAAATCCAAATTATTCCAAAGTTTTGGAGCACAGAAGGAAAAGGCCCTTTCATCCACATTGTTCTGGACCTAGGCATGCAGAGCTGATGGTCATTCGAAAATCTTAAATTACGAGATGGTGAGTAAATTTCAATACATGTTCTGAAAGATAATTTGGTGAGCACTGAAGTAACGATTTATAAACCGTGCACAAAAGTTTTAATTCAATGCGCTCTAACTGGCAACCAGTAGACGGTTTTCAAAATATCATGGGCATGGTCTGAAGTTTTTCTCAAAATTACAAGTAAAGAGATTGCGGATTTGGGGGTTCGAGCCCCAGCTCGGTCCGACGTTGTGTCCTTGGGAAATGTGCTTTACACGAATTTCCCGCTTGGTTCGGTCCTTTCGGAGATGGACGTTAAATTCAGAAGTCCCACCTCTTAATTAACCTGAGAGTGTTGATAGGGGCGTTCAACCTATACCAGTTTTGCTGTGTGCACTGCTGAAGGCAGTCCAAAAAAAAAGGACGACAAAGCAAGCTGGTCCAACAACATTAAAGAATGGACTTGTTTGTACTCTACACAGAGGGACAAGGAAGGGAGAACAATTTCGACATCTTTTGCTCTCCCCCC